ACTATTATTGGCATATCCAATGAACACACAATCAACGATCTTTGGTCCTATCTTAGTCATTTTGGGACTAGGGACTGCCACCTTGGCCAAACACCCCCACACTTTGAGGTAATCATAGGTAGGTCGTCAACCTTTCCATAATTCATAAGGTGTTTGATTGAGTTTCTTGTGGGGTACCCTGTTAAGGATAAAGTTAGCAGACAAAATCGCCTTCCCCCATAAGTTCTGAGGTAACCCTAAACTAATCAACATAGCATTCATCATCTCTTTAAGAGTTCGATTCTTTCTCTCAGCAACTCCATTTGACTGAGGAGAATAGGGTGCAGTGGTTTGGTGAATAATACCATGTTCAGAGCAAAATTCTTCAAATGGTGCATTATATTCACCACCTCTGTCACTCCTCACTATCTTAATAGTTTTGCCAAGTTGATTTTCAACCTCAAGTTTATATTGCCTAAAAGCTTCTAAGGCTTCATCTTTACTTCTCAATAAGTAAACATAGCAATATCGAGTGCAATCATCAATAAAAGTAATAAAGTACTTCTTACCTCCTCTAGTTTGAACAAATTTTAAATCACAGATATCTATGTGAATTAAACTTAGAGGTTCAGTACTTTTTTTAACTTTATTAAATGATGCCTTAGTGAGTTTTGCCTCAACACAAATCTTACATTTATGATTAGGATCAAATTTTAAATTGGTAAACAATCTAAAGCAACAAGTCTACGCAAAGAATTAAAATTAATATGTTCTAATCTACTATGCCATAAAAAGGAAGACTCAACAATATAAATAGAAGATGTGTTCTTATTATTAAAAGCCAAATTAGGTACAACAGTTATTACATTGAACTTAAAAAGCCCATCACTCATGTAACCTCACCCCGTATACATTCCACTATTGGAGAGTACAACTTTATCAGATTCAAAGACTAATTTAAACCCATTCTTGATCAACAATGACCCAGAAATCAAATTCTCACGAATCTCTGGCACATTGAGTATATTGTTAAGAGTGAATTATTTCCCCGAGGTCATTTTCAACACAATCTTTCATTGTCCTTCTACAGTTGAAGTGGAGGAGTTTCCATAAAAAGTTGTTCCCCACTTTCCACCACTTTATAGGTTGTGAATATCTTCTTATCTGCACAGATATGGCGGGTTACTCTAGTATACACCCACTATTCCCTAGGATTGCCTACCGAATTTGCTTCAGAGACTACTGCAGCAAGATTGATGTCAGCCACTCCATTAGAAAGATAAAAATCCTCGGCTATGTTGGCTTGTGCTGTTTTTTTGCTTGAACTCCCTCCGTCCTTGCAAATATGACAATCCTTAGCGCAATGCTCATCTTTGCCGCACACAAAACACTTGCTTTTGAATCTCGTGTTGAACCCATTGTTGATCTCTTTGTTGATCTTACTAGTGGATCCTTGTTTGGGACCATTGCCATCATGCTTCCGCTTCTTGTTGTTGAACTTTGACCCAAGTTCATGTTCCACAACATTTGCTTTAGCCTGCATGACATGGTTTCCTGACTTCTTGTCGGAACCACGGTTGTCCTCCTCAATTCGGAGCCGCACTATCAATTCCTCCAATTTCACCTCCTTGCGCTTATGCTTCAGATAATTCTTGAATTCTCTCCAAGATAGTGGCAATTTTTCAATGATTGCCGCTACTTGGAAAGATTCACTGAAAACCATCCCTTCCGCATATATGTCATGGAGAATTAATTAGAGATCTTGAATTTGGCTAAAGATTCCAACAGTTCTTTAGCAGTGATTTTAACACTATACACATTATACAGTGTATTGTCTAACCCATTGAGGATATAGTTTCGACACAGAAAATCACCATGTGTCCATGCATCGACTGCAGTAACCACTTGCCGGTTAGTTTCTCCCTCATTTAGTGCCGATGCCTTTTCATGAGTGAAGCGAGCCAAATTCAATGTGATAAGATAAAACATCATCTTTTGTTGCCATCTTTTAAAATCATTACCATTGAATTTTTCTAGCTTCTCCTTATGATTTACCGGTATTACCGGAGTCATCACTGGCACAATAGGTGTGCGGGTTTGAGTAATAACAGTCTTAGTACTGTTAATTTCAGTTGTCATAATTCTGACCAAATAAAAATAATAAACCAATTACAAATTTATACAAAAAAAAAAATCGAATTTACACACAAAATAAATGGAATAATATTTTGTAACAAAATTCCAATAATAAATAGTATATTACTACTATGTTATCAAAGAAATCATTAAACAGTATATTACTACTATTTAATTTCCCGAAACAAAATATTTGTCTATCTATCGCAGAAATAAATAAAAATAAGAAATCTACTATTTAATTACATAAATTATTTTCCGAATTAAATGCTTACAAAAAATAATGTCGAGGCTTGTATCGGACACAATCTCCTTAAAGTAGATTTCGCCCTTGCTTCAGTGCTTCAAGATATAACTGGCGTCTACTTCCCAGGATGCAACGACTAACACTTGATTTTACAGCACTATAAAATTAAGTCTGGCGAACCAAACAATGTTGTAACTCTTTCTCTTTATTTTCCTAAAAATAAATACAGAAGCAACAGAGGACGAACAGAAGAAGAAATGGAAGAAGTCTGAAAATTTTCGGATGCAAAATGAATTGCTGGAGCAGACTTTATATATGCAAGTTGGTGGCTGTTTGAACAGGTGCCAACAGATAGGCAACTGTTCGGACAGATTTCAACAGATAGTAAATCTGTTTGAACTGTTTGGACAATTCCAGATCTGTCCGGAAAAGATTCAAAAGGTTCAAACCCGTTCAGGTGTGTTAGGAACTGTTTGGGTGAAGGGAAAAAATTTGGACCAATTTATTTTTATTTTTGAAACCAAAAATATAAATAAATAAATAAAGTTCAAATGTTTTTTGCCCAAAAAGATAAGTATTGGGCCGGACAAGCCCAACCCAACCTCACACCATGCACTCTTGCCCAACCCAGCCCGCTTGACCAGACAGACGGCGGCTATGGCGCGGTTTTAATTTTGGGTCCAATGGGTCTAGCCCACTATACTCATAACATCACCCTTCCACAAACTTGGGTACCCCTTGGAGCCCATCCCAAGTATCCAATGCTAAGGTTTATAAGCCCAAACAATTCCTCAAGCCTTTCCAATGTGGGACAAACACATTTCACAAATGTGTAGTAAACCCACCAAAATATATTTCTACGAACCCAAAAATGCGCGTTGAATTCTCATTCATTCAGAAATGGTTTTGAGCAACCAAATACATGAATTTATTCACTACACGGCATTAAACATGAACCCAATTAGAAACGTTAAAAATAGTGCTTGGGTTCCACCTTAATTAATGCTCAAAATTAGCAAAAAAAATAAGGTTTTTTTTTACCAAAACTATTCCAAAGCCATTTTCCAACAGCTACAAGGGTAATAGGCCTAAGGATGGAGAGTTGTGAGAGTGGTGGTCATGAAAGTAAGTGGCTATGGAGTAAGGAGGCTTGCACAGGTGGTCACAAGAGGTAGGGCAAAGCTACGAGATGGTGGTCAAAGATAAATATAGACTTCATGCAACATGAAAATAATAAGTTAAAAATAAATGAAAATATGTTTAAAATTATAGAGTATGTGGCAATAAAATAAAATGTTTGAAATGTTGTTAAAATTGCGTAATTAAATAAGATAAATAGATTCGTGATTTGATAAATTAAATTATAGAACATCAAATAAATTCATATTTGATAAATTACATAATGGAGCATGAAACAGAAATACAAATCACATAATATATTGAAAGACGACGAATCAAACCGAAACCTATGTAGTACCACAGTCCCCTTAAAATAGATTAGCCGCTCCACCGTGGGTGCTGGAAGTACGTCGACTTCTGTCTCCCAGGATACGACGGTTTAGACCGATTAACGCAGAAGCGCCTTCTGATAGCTTTGGCGAACAGACAATGGCAGCAATCTCTCAACACAGGAAAAAAATTATATGAACAAGCAAACTAACTGAATAATTGTAGAAGGCAAAAATTATGTACCTAAACCAAGGGAGATGGGTCTCTTTTTATACACCATGGGGAAGAGAGGAGGAGCCTTTAGCCATCAAAGCTGGCAACAAATGCAGGCCATTACTCCTGCAAAACTACTAGAGTAATGCACAAAACTAATGAGAATTCAAAGTGTGTGTTACACACAATATACACGTGTGTATATACATATTTGTAGCAGACGTGGTCCAAAAAGATTAGATTGGTGAACCACCAATTCGGCCCATCCCAAACTTAACCCAAGTCTCAAGATCCACGATCTACCGATCACGGACCAGGCTTAGTCCGATCCTAGCGGGCGACGCTCGTGTGACAATTTTGCCGTAACCAACTTGGACCATAGTCTTAGCCCAAACCCATTCTTGAAGCATTAATTCCATTCCTTCGAAAAATTTAGATGGCCCAAAGGGCTCATGCCCTTATCAAAATCTTGAGATTTAAATACTCATCAAAGCTCTACAATCAATGTGAGATTAGTAATTATACACAATTCTCAATACCTGTTATACACAATTTTCAATACCTTATTCATGATTCAATTCTTAATGATTTTTGATCATTTTTTTATGGTATAAAGATTTTGTTACAAAGAATCTAAACCCACTTAATCTCACATCAACCAATAATTAAAACCTACTTTAATTTCACATTAAAATTACTATAAAATCATATTTTTTTTCCCAACATGAAATAGTTGCAATTAAAAAATTGAGTGTAATGTAACTCCCATGTCACTTACGTGATTCGATTTGATTTTCTGAATCAACTTTTAGAATATCTTTTTAAAAATCTAAAAACTAATTTGGTATAAAAAATCGGAAAAATAATTATTTAAAAATTAAAAAATATCTTTACGCGTTTATTTTTGTCAAATTAAAATTTACTTTTCAAGAAACAAAAAAATTCGAAAATAGATCCCCGAACAAAGAAATCCCAAAAACTTGCGGTCGGCTGTCATAAAAGCATGTAGCTGTAAAACTTTTTCTTTCCTTTTTCCCTAGTAATTTCTCGGCGACCAAACGGACCCCAAAACTATTTCCAGCCCAGTAAACGGTATAAACCTATACATATATATATATATATATAACCTGTATATATATATGTATCACGCTCTTTCTCAATGTCCAAGACGAATCGATGAAAGCTGAGACGTCATTTTCTCGAGAAAAAATTGAAAGCAGAGAAAATATATAAGATTGAATTACACAAAACTTGTCATCGCCACGTAAATTACTGGTAAATTTTCTAACTTTAATATACAGTCTTCTGATTATTCAAATCATTTTTAATTTATCTGTAATTTGTCAATATTTGGATGGTATTTATTTAAACTTCATATGAATTTGTCGAATACAGTTATAATATTAGTTGAATCAATTGGCTTATTCGATACTGGTTTCAATTGGGCGTTCGAGTTCTTGATAACCATCATTTTCTAATTAGGGTTTTGGGTTGTTATGGGTTTAATTTATTCTTTAACTGGTCGTTTAATTTCTGTTCGGTAGCTGAGAAAGTTGCCCTGAAAAGAAAAACTAAATTGAAATTAAATGTATAAACTTTGATTATGAATTTAGCTCAGTCGGGTGGTGGGTTTTTTTTTTTTTTTTCGTGGGTTAAATCGTGGAAAACATGATTTTCAGAACTTTCCTTTTCTTGCCTTTTCTCAGATGCCAAACGGTGCATAAAATGAATGTTCCTTGTTGGTTGGTATTTTCATTGTTCTAAACTTGAGATTCATTCAAAATTAAGGCATTGCTTTATGAACTTTGTTATTCCCCTCTTTGTTTATAGTATTCTTTGCTTCATCTTTAAGCAATTTATGGTTAAATTTGTATTTATTAGGCTTTCCATCCATTTAGCTTGTTCTTACCTTAAGGAGTTAATGAATTATGTATGTTTAGTTGTGGACATTTTGTGATCTTAATTTGTGGCAGGCAATGAATTGAATTTTAGACTCTGTTTGGATGGAGTGATTTGGTGAAAAATAATAAGAAATGATGAGAAAGAGAACTCTTTTATCATGTTTGGTTTATAAGTTGAGTGAGAAATGATAAGAATGGATTAGAAATAGTGGGAAAAAAAATCCTCTTACTAGGTCTATTTCATTTCTCACCAAAAGTGTTTGTGAGATTTGGTGAGAAACAAGTTGATTGGTTGTAAAATATTTATAATACCAAGATTACCCCCCTTCAAATACGAAGGAAGAAAAAGAAATGTCCCTAATATCTCTCTCACAGGCTTTGTTTCCTCACTCATCCAAACATGACAGTGAGAAAACACAATTATGTATTCTTCTTTTTCTCCCCCTATGATCCAAACAGAGTGTTATTGTTAAGTTTTTCTTACATCAATAGCATTTAAGTGTTTAATAGCATCAATAGGTGTGTGTTGTTTTCTTGGTAAACGTGAGATTGAATAGAGATGTATTGCCATTTGGATTTTTTTAAAATGCTTTCTCTCAGTCACACAATTTTTTGTTTCGAATATCAAATTTCAAACCAAATTACATGGTTCGGGAGAAGGAACTTATGGTTAGCTATATCTTTGATTTGGAAGTTGATATCTGAACTAAAATTGGTGTGTTAATTGAGAGAAAGTGGTGTGTGGAAATAGAAGCTCTCAAAACTAACATAATATTTATTCAATAGTAATTTAAATTTACCGTTGTTTTTGTAAGTCATCATTTTTTTGCATGTCTTTTTTTATTTTTTCATTGAAGAAACTAATGAGGATATCTTTTTTCTCTGTTACTAGGTTAGCTAATTTCTCAAAAAGAACAAGGATAGTGAAATTCTTGAGATTTTGTGCTGCCTCTTGTTGTGTCATTCAGTACAACATATATATTGTTGTGTCTTTATGAAAAGGCAGGCCATCTTGATAGCTGTAATCATATAATTTTTTCCTCTTCAATATTGGTGGAATAAAATGGCTGTTTCCACACAAGAAGCAAGTCAAGAGAACTCAACTGATAGGTACCCTTTGCTCAAGGAGCCGCATGAAAACAATGAAAATCAGGACCATGTTATTGACATAGAAAGGGGTCGTGACACTTCCTCTTCAGGCTCATCTCATAATGGTTCTCCTCATGGCTCGAATATGCCCCATCATGAAAATACACCGTCAAGTGGTGTTCGTCTACCCATCACTCCATCACCTTCATCTTCGCCCCATGGTTCGAACTCTAGGAGCTCTTCAGTTTCAAGAAGAGGGGAAGGGTCTGGCCGTCGTCATTGGAGCCCATTTAATACCATCTTATGGTTTATCATTGAGCTAGTGTTCACTGTAGGCCAAATTATTGCAGCCATAGTTGTTTTATCTGTGTCAAGAAATGAGAATCCACAAACTCCATTGTTTGCCTGGATTGCGGGTTATGCAGGAGGGTGTGCTGCAAGCCTTCCTATCCTTTATTGGCGTTATGTTTACCGCAATCTGGGTGCTGAACAAGGTTCAACTCAATTGCGTCCAGATTCTTCCCAAGGCAACTCTACATCAGAACCAAATTCTTACACAACCGTCTCGTTAGCTCGGACCACGGAAGAGGAAGATGGTCAGAATACATCTTCAGAAACTTGGGACCAACAAACAATGGGAGCTCCAAATGCTAGGTAACACCTCTGCCTATACAATGCTCACAACATATCAGCATTCCAATTTTATAGTACATAACATGTTTATTTGTTTGCATGAGTAACTTGATGCTGTTTTGTTCTGTTCGTTGCCCTTAGCAAATCTTGCTTTTGTTTAAGAAATATTTTTTGTAAACACTAATTTGGTTATGTTTGTTCGTTGGTTGTTACAGTTCCTTATCAGTTTAATGAAAAACCATAATACTGGTTGGTAATGAGTGACATTGTTAGGTTCTCAGCCGTATCTTATACTTTCATATGTTTTTTCTTTCTGTGTAATATTAGATTCTTCCTTTAGCTTACGCCAAGAATCAACCTTAAGTCGTTATCTTTTTGCTTTAGTTATGGATGAGTTGACGAGAAATATTCAGGATAATATGCCATGGTATATACTTTTTACAAATGATATCATATTAGTGGATGAGACTAGAGGAGGAGTTAACACTAAGTTGAAGACTTGGAGAGAAGCACTTGAATATAAAGGATTTAGGATAAGTAAGAACTAAGACAGAATACATGGAGTGTAATTTTAGTATTAGTAACAGTAACAATGAAAACAGAGGAAAAGTGAAGATTGAGGACCAAATACTATCTAAGAATGAACATTTTCATTATTTAGGATCGATTATCACAACGGCTGGGGAGATTGGAGCAGATGTAATCTATAGAATTAAGGCAGGGTGGTTTAAATGGAAGGATGCGTCTGGGATACTGTGCAATAAACGAGTACCCACTAGACTAAAAGGGAAGTTATATAGAATGGCTATTAGACTAGCGATGTTATATGGGACGGAATGTTAGGCAACTAAGAAATAATATGTAAATAAGATGAGTGTTGCTGAGATGAGGATGTGTAAGAATTAATCTATAGAGAAATAGAGAGAATTGTATTATTGATTGTTGTAATGTTCTATTTATTACAATGATTCATGATTCCTATATATAGAAGAGGGTAAGTGTGTAGTAGGTAAGGAGTGGGTGAAGTGGAGGTGGTAGTGGTGTAGTGGGTTAGGTTTAGTGGAGTAGGTGAGGTGGTAGTGGTGTAGTGGGTTAGGTTTAGTGGAGTAGGTTTAAGTGGGTGAAGTAGGTGATAGGTTTTAACAGGATGCTAAGGTGAATGTGTGGCAAAACTAGAAAAGACAGAATTAGGAATGAGTATATTCGTGAATGGGTAGGAATAGTGTCGATAGAAGATAAGTTAAGGGAGAATAAATTGAGATGGTTTGGTTATATACAATGGAGACCAACAAAGGCAATAGTGAAGAGATGCGATACAGTGATGGTAGATGGAAGTGTTAGGAGAAGGGTAAACCTAGATTGATGTGGGCTAATATAGTAAATAGAGATATGAATCTTCTTAATTTGACTAACGATATGGCCTTGGATAGAGTTGAATGGAGAAGAAGAATTCATGTAGCCGATCTCATTTGATGGGATTTAAGGCTTGGTTTGGTTTATACCTCTCTGAGGTTTTGAGAAAATACAATTATTCTCACAAATTTGGCATAATTACATTGGGGCTCCCATAAGATTCTAATTGACATAACACTTAGACCATTTTCATTAATAATTCATTAGTTAGATATATAGAAAAATGATGTTATCATTTCTCTTACACTGAAATGTATATTTTACTTTCTTTTTTTTTTTTTTTTTTTTTTTTTTTTTTTTTTTTTTTGCGTCTTCGCATCATCTACGCTAATTTTGGTATGTTTATTCTTACTAAAAGGGAAGTTAGTGTAATTATGCCAAAATTGTAGGGTTTCTTGTAGTTTTTTCAAACCTGAGGGGAGTTAATTTAACCTACTTCTTTTTATTTATTTATTTATTTATTTTGAGTGCGTATGTGAGCACGAAACAACATAACAAAATATAACTCAGGTTTAAAAATCTCATTTGGACCATAGATAGGAATACTAACCTTAACCTCTTAGAAGTTCAAATTTTCACATATAAAGACACAAGAAACTAGTCTTATTAAAAGCGAGCCTAGGCGCAAGTCCCAGCCATGCGCACCACCTGTGCCTTGCAATGGTCAAGGTGAGGTGACTTCAATAGGGCGTGATCAAGGTTTTAAAAAGTGGCCACAACCGTTACGTAAAGCCGTTACGTAACGGTTGTGGTGGTTACCGCCACCCGTTACGGCCGCTTTTGCAGTGTGATTGAGATTCACGGGTATGTTAGCTATATCGGTCATAACGGTGCCGTAACGGCCTAGTACGCACCGTTACGTAACGGTTCCGAACTGCTTCTTTCGAAAAAAGACAAAAAAAAAAGAGTTGAAAATGGGGGAAGAGGGATAGAGAGAGGGAAGATAAAGAGAGAAGATGGAGGAGCAAGAGATAGAGAGAGAAGAGGGAAGATGAAGAACATGTTATTGATTTGTTGAAACTGTAAGACCTATGCTATTCTATTCAGTTTCTATCACTCAACCATTTTGTTTGTGTGTATTTATCTATATATTGTTTGATAATAATAATAATAATAATAATAATAATTATAATTGTGGTCATTATCTATTTGGCTTGATTAAAATATGTATATATATATATATATTTAGGCTCTTACTTTTGTCATTATTTATCTTATATATAATAGCTACTAATTGATTTTTTGTATAATATAAAGTTATTAATTATTAAAATAAAATGTCAAAAACTCAATTTATAGTGATTTAAAAATATGAAATATATTGGATCATATTTAAAATTTTATAAAAATTGATCAATATTTATTTTAAATCCAATAAATATGATCATTGAAAAAAAATATGCGTATTGGTAAGTTTTTTTCAAATTGTGCGAAAAATAAAAAAATTCACGAATCCAGTTACTGCAACAATTACGTTACGACCTTTACACCCCGCAACCGCGCCACCACCACCGTTACGGCCACCGCAACCGCTTTTCAGAACCTTGGGCGTGATTAAAGCACGCAACTCGAACAAGGCACAATTAAGCCCAAGATGCAGGCCTTGAGGCCTTTTTTCTTTTTTTTGATTGATTTTATTCGAATTGGACCACTGAATTTACATGGGTCAGCTACAGCAGATCATGTCCTTCAAATATACATGCTAACATTGTCAATTTTGCCCCAAATCAACAAACGACAAAAGAAAACCTTGGACTAATCCAAATCTTTGAATAAGTCGAACTCGTTAGTCGTCATCTAGTCCAGGAGCTTCAAATGTGCAGGTATGTTCTTCTTCTCTTCGTTTCTTGGTCTTTTCTTCCCCTTCTCTTCGTCTGTTCTGTTCTTCCCTTTCTTCTTCTTCGCTTCTTCTCATCTTATCTTCTTATCTTCTTCTTCTCTTCGTCTCTTCTTCCCCTTCTTCTTTTCCGTTTATTTTCTGCTTATACCCAGGCAGGTTCAGAGGAGACAGAAGAGGAAGAGTTAGAAGGATACAAATCCAATGATGAAGAAGAAGATTATGAGTTGCGTGTTGTTGGTATTGAGGATGATGATTGTTAGATCCTCATTGAATAAGTGGAAGCAAAGACTTGATGTTTTGTTGGTTTAATTTGTTGATGTTTTGAAATGCATGCTTGAACTTGAAATATTGATGTTAGTTGAAATTTAGATCATGGCTATTTGTGTTTTATGTTGAACTTTGAAATATTACTCATTTGTCTATCAATGTTAGTTGAAATTTAAAATAGCGATATTTGTTGGTATTTATTTTTTAAAATGTTCAATATTTCATTTTGTTTATGTTATACTAGTTTGTTATTTGCTTATATGCCTTATATTAAATTATGTTATTTCAACTTGCCATGGTGCGCCTTACTTCGATGAAGAGGCCCTAGGAGACCTTGGCGCCTCAGTGCGCCTGTCACTTTTAATAACACTGCAGGAAACACAAACCAACCCCTGCTCCTCCAAAAATCCATACATTGCTATGAGCTCATGTATCATAGCAATTTTTGTTCTTACATAGGCTTTAAACTGTTGGTATGGTAAGCCTTTTAAGCGTGTTTTGCTTAAGTTTTATCATAATTTGTCATTTTAACTGTATTGTTTATATTCAATGAAATGATTTCTTCTGAGCAGGCTCAGTGCGCTGATGCTCCGCTTCAAGATGTCTTTGGATTGCTTCTTTGCAGTGTGGTTTGTTGTCGGCAATGTATGGATTTTTGGAGGACATTCATCTTCTTCTGATGCTCCCAATTTGTACTGGTACCTATTGATGACCTGCAAAATCTCTCTTTCATTCTCATCCTATTTGAATATCTGGCATTTTCACTGTTTTCTTTGCAGGTTATGTATAGTATTTCTTATGTTTAGCTTCATCGGGTATGCAATGCCCTTCATTTTATGCTCCATGATTTGCTGCTGCTTGCCTTGTATTATTTCATTTCTTGGTGTCCGTGACGATATGAATCGAATGAGAGGTGCTACTGAGGAAACTATTAATGCTCTGCCAACGCACAAATTCAAGTCAAAGGAAAAAGGAAGCCGCAACAGCAGAGACAGCAATTCGGGAGCTGATGACGGTGGATTTGTGGCAGCAGGAACAGAAACCGAGCGCGTTATCTCAGGGGAAGATGCTGTAAGTTCTCGAGTTCTTATTCATTAGGGTTTATGTTCTTTGATAGTTTGGGAACTGTAACATGAAATGGAATTAGCACTACCTTATTTTATAAATTTCCCTAATTTGCTTTTGATCAAAACTTAGATTTCTGTTCTCATTTTATGCATAGCCTATGTATCAAGTAAGGTGCATACTATATTGTATTGGTATATGTGGGAACTGAATATGGGGCAAATTAGTTTTGGCCCACCTATGAAGCACTAACATTTCAAAATTGGTATTGTAGCTATGTCAGGCACGTATGGGACATAGACATGGTTGGGACTTACAGGGACATGTGACCGACATGCCACGTGGCGTGCCCATTTTTTTAATAATAATTTTTTTCATTGGACACTTGCAGGAACACTGTGGGACACTATGGGGTTTTATTTTAATTCTTCAAAACTAAATTCGGGGGTTGTATTATAATATTGGGTTGAATTTCAATTCATATTGAACCATTTATAACACCACAAATCTAATCACAGTTGCGAAGTTGAGAGACTGACTTCTATCAATTCTTGAAGTGCTAACGCAACCTAGATTTAGTATCTGGATGATATGAATTTAGGCCAAGTTTGGCATACTTAAAAAAAGACAAAAAGTTAAAAAGTCACTATTCTATTTAAGCCACATCATCTTATTTAAGTCACTATCACCTCTCTAACACATCACTTCAAACTCAATCCAAACCCAACCCATGTTTCATAAAAAGTCAAAAAGTGCACTTATTTAGATCATTCCAAACAATCCCTAGTGTTTTTTTATATTAAATTACCCAGTTGCCATCTCTACCTCCATTATCGTCATTTCTTTTCCGGCTTGTCTTGTTTTGACCAATACCGAGTGCTTTAAAACTTTCAGGTGTGTTGCATTTGTTTGGCAAGATATGCAGATGATGATGAGTTGAGAGAATTGCCTTGCTCCCATTTCTTCCATACAGAGTGCATAGATAAATGGCTCAAGATCAATGCCACATGTCCACTCTGTAAATTTGAGATTGGTGACAGCAACGTGAATTCGCCGCCTGCAGCAGACTCAACAAGTCAGCAAGTGTGATGAAAGGATTTAAATTGCGGTATACTAATTTGATCAGTTTGTTGATTCAATTTTCTCTCTTTTGTTTTGGCCATTGAATCCTGGGTTGTGCAGTTGAGTCTGAACCATAAGTCTTTATCAAAGCTTGTATAGTAGAATTTTGATTTCAGCGATTTAGATCAAATATTTCAAGATAGAAATCTGTAAATAGATGTTGAATACTGTTATTTGGAATGAAAGCATGATTGAATAGAGATTGGTCTCTAATGGTCTCTTTCAGTTTAGTTAGGGCTCGAATGCCAGTTAATCCGTCATGAAATTTTCTTACATTAATATGGTTTTCATTTAGATCAAATGTTTTTGTTTGGTTTAATTTTTGAAAATTATATTTTTGTTTTTATTTTTTTTTTAGATCAGTTATCGGAAATAGTTCACATAAGAAGTTTTTCGAGGGCATCGTCCCCATTGACATTGTTGGTGTTTTTGTTTGGGTATTATTTATTTATTTTTGTTTTTTCAAGGGTAAAAAAAATACAAATGTCTATTTTTCTATATAAAAAATCAATTCATCATTTGCATATTTTTTGTGTTTATTTAATTTTTAAAATTTTTCGTCACAAATATTTTGAGGTTTAGAAATCAACTCAAATATTAAAATAATTCACTAAAAAATTCAAATTTTGATAATTTAAAATGAAACAAAATTTTGTTCAGACAAATATAATTTAAATATATAAATTCCAACATCCGATCAAATTTTATTTTTTTTACAAATTATTTATTCAAAAATATTAAAAATTAAAGAGTCTGAATTAATGAAATGGACTCGAGAGCCCAAGCTGGACCCTCCAGTTGGGGAGCCAAAACCTTTTGATTTTCTTATATTCATATGAAATAAAAAAAATTATTCAAAATTTCACCTTAAAGAAAGAATAGGAGGCAAAAAAATGAAGTTAAAATAAGCTAAAACATTCACAAATTAGATTTAACTTAGGTAACAGCCCCATTCAGCAAAATAAGCTCTAATAAAAGAAATTTCCAAAGGAAAAAGAGTTGCTGCTGAAATCAATTCACCAAAATCACCTCAACTATATATATATATATGTAGGAAAACTGGGCAAATAGAAATGATTTACAAATGTTAGATCCACTTTACATCAAAAGACAGCACTAATCTCGCTTGGGACTTCTCTAAAAAAATCTCCCCATCTGCCCCAAGAGAGAGAGAGAGAGAGAGAGAGAGAATAAAACTGTACAGTGGGCTGTACAAATTACTAAAATGACTCACTGATCACTTTCATCATATCATCATGATGATATATCGTTCTTCATTCTTTCTACAATGAAAGCACATCCAAATTTTCCATTATACAATGGCTGTATATGTAGTTCCATTCTTTCTTGATTATGAAAGCCGATTGTGATTTCCATTAGAGTCAGATGTGACTGAGGAAGGAGGTTTCACCATGTTCGGTTGCGGTGGAGGAGCTGTAAGGGCATAAGTAAGCCTAGAAGAGGAACTCTCGATTAGACCAGCGACTCCAGCAGCTGATGACTGAGCATTTGAAGGAAGGAATAGGTCATGCTTTTGGTCTTTATATGCACTCCAAACCTGCAAAATCAGAAGTTGCCAAATGATTAACAAAACTGGTTTTAATAAAAAAAAAAAGAAATGTGAATGCATTCCTTCTAATGCATACTTTCCTCACATTACTAGAGACAGATATGGCATACCGGATAAAGTGGTAACCTACGTTACACAGACTCGGGTGCGGGTATCGGGTACGGGTGTGTATCTAAGGGTCAGACCAAGGTTTTGAAAAATGGTTGCGGTCGCCGTAACGGTGGCCGTGGCGCGGTTGCGGGGTGTAAAGGCCGTAGCGTAACGGTTGCGGTAACCGGAACCGTGAATTTTTTTATTTTTCGCACAATTTGAAAAAAAACTTCCCGATACGCACATTTTTTTTCCATGATCATATTTATTGAGTTTTAAAATAAATATTGATCAATTTTTATAAATTTTTAAGTTTGATCCAATATATTTCATATTTTTAAATCACTATAAACTGAGTTTTTTACATTTTATTTTAATAATTAATGACTTTATATTATACAAAAAATCAATCACTAACTATTATATATAAGATAAACAATGACAAAAGTAAGAGAATAAATAAGAACCTAAATATATATATATATATACATAC